ACTTAAAAAGTTCAATAAACTATTGCCTAGTAAATCTAAAGTTGTTTTATACAATGCTTTAATTAGAAGCCATTTAATGTATGGTATTGATATTTAAAATTGAAACAGTAAATCAAAAAAAATTATGCAACTCAAATGTTTACAAAGCTCCTCAGATTATTGGTCCTAACAAGGTACACACAAGACCAATCCTAAAAAAATTCGTTATTGTTAGATCAAGAGGATTAAATGGCTATTAGAATCCAAACATGGAAGATATGTGTTGGATCAGCACCATCATCTTTAAATAATGATTTTATCTGGGTTAACATTGAAAAATCTTTGAGAGTTAACAGAAGAATAGCTCTTCCTAACTTTAAGAGTTGTGTGTTGGCAAATCAAGCCCCTAACAAAATTGGAAATGAAGCTAATTGATTGAAAGAAAAAACCTTTGTGCTCTTAATATGGCTTCAAAATGTCACAATATCTGTTGTGCTGAATGTTAATTGTAAAATTTTGTTTGATTTTTTTAAAACAATATATCAAATGTAAAAATTAGGAAATAAAGAAGACACCTTTCATTAAGTATTATACCCTTTCAGTTTTCAAGTTAAATTTACCTTTTTATTGTAAATTTATATAATACTGAAGAAATTATTAATATATATATATATATATATATATATATATATATATATATATATATATATATATATATATATATATATATATATATATTATTTTATTTTTATTTCAATTCACCTCCTCAATGCCGAGAAGGCCACTACAGACGAGGAGGCTACTTATTTGTGATTATAAGCCTCTCTCAACTCTATAACTCCGAAACATGAACCTTGATGAATAAGGCTGCTGCGCCGAGAAACGGTTTGAGTGCGGTACTACCAGGGACGTGGTGGAAATCAAACTCGGAACCACTCGTTTATGAAGCGAGCGCTCTACCACTACACCACTACCGCATATAAGGAGAACATGCAAGGGAAAATAAGGATATAAGGAGAACATGTAAGGAAAAAGACTGATGCAAGGGGAACAATGCAACATGCACACATATATATACAGGAGCTATTCTAGGAAAAAAATATGGGCGGCAGTACCCATGTATATATATGTATATATATATAGAATAGCCCCTGATATATAAAGGCCTTGGCGGGAAGCGAGAGCTTTAGCTCTTGCTTCCCGTTGACACTCCCCTAAATTGGTTTACTGAAGCAATTTACGGTTCTCGCAAAAGTATAATTTTTCTCTCAAAAGTTTTATTATCATTGTAACTAAAATAAAAAACGCAGTCATTTTAATAATCATCTTTAACAACTCATAAAATCCCTGCATTCTATTACAATAAGAAATTATAAAACTTTTTTTATAAGCAATAAAAACAATGCTTGTCTAAAGAATTTAGAGAAGTAGCTCGCATAGCTCGCCATGTTTGTTTTAGGAGAGCTTTTCACCGCTCTTGCACTTATTTTTTCCTGCCGAGGCCTGTATATACATATATATATATATATATATATATAAATATATATATATATATATATATATATATATACATATATATATATATATATATATATATATATATATATATATATATATATATATATATATATATATATATACATATATATATATGTATATATATATATACATATATATATGTGTGTGTGTATATATATATATATATATATATATATATATATATATATATATATATATATATATATATATATATATATATATATAAAGAATTTAGAGAAGTAGCTCGCATAGCTCGCCATGTTTGTTTTAGGAGAGCTTTTCACCGCTCTTGCACTTATTTTTTCCTGCCAAGGCCTGTATATACATATATATATATATATATATAAATATATATATATATATATACATATATATATATATATATATATATATATATATATACATATATATATATATATATATGTATATATATATACATATATATGTGTGTGTGTATATATATATATATATATATATATATATATATATATATATATATATATATATATATATATATATATATATATATATATATATATATATATATATATATATATGTATATATATATATATATATATATATATATATATATATATATATATATATATATATGTATTATATATATATATATATATATATATATATATATATATATATATATATATATATATATATATATATATATATAAAGAATTTAGAGAAGTAGCTCGCATAGCTCGCCATGTTTGTTTTAGGAGAGCTTTTCACCGCTCTTGCACTTATTTTTTCCTGCCGAGGCCTGTATATACATATATATATATATATATATAAATATATATATATATATATATATATACATATATATATATATATATATATATATATATACATATATATATATATATATATATGTATATATATATACATATATATGTGTGTGTATATATATATATATATATATATATATATATATATATATATATATATTATTTTAAAACATCAAAAATACGATTTCTCTCAACACTTATAATTTTTTTATTATTATAGAAATTTTCGCTGGATTTTAGATACCAGCTTCTTCAGCTTGTTAAATGTTACAGTAATTAATAAAATCGTTATAATTTAAATTAAAACGTTGCTATTGACGTCAGCTGTTGAATGGCTTCTTTTTCGCTGAAATTTAAAAAATGGCGTCCAAAACTTAGTTTTTACGTATTGACCCTCATCGAGATTAATCCCGCCATTTTTTGCAGAACACATGTTTTTTTGTATTTCTAGGGCTTCCCTAACTTTTCTTTCAAATTTTTTATTTTCTACTTTTAATGTTTTTGTTTGTTCCCAAATAATTTCTTTTTTGCAAAATGTTTTATGCAGAGCTAATGCGGATTGATGCTGCTTATTTTCATCAATGCTTTTTTGGTGTTGATGCATTCGTGTGTTTACTTTCATTTTTGTTTCGCCTACATACACTTTTGAACAGTTGCATTTGATTATATATGTTCCCGGTTGACTGTTATTAGGTAGTTTTGATTTATTTTTTGATGTTAACAGGGATCTTAAGTTTGGGTTTGATTTGAATACCGCTCTGTAACCAGCTTTTCGGAATATTTTCCTAAGTTTTGGTGAGAGACCGGGTACCCATGGTAAGGAAACTACAGGATAATTATTGATTTCAGATGGAATTGTAATTTTATTTTGTCTTTTGTGTTGAAACTGATGTGCAATATTCATCATTTGAGTTTTATCGTAACCATTTTCAATAAACACGTCGATTAGAAAATTTATTTCATTTTGCAAGTAAGACTTACTACAGATTGAGTAAGCTCGGTGGAGAAATCCTTTAAAAATAGAGTTCAAGATATTTGGATCATGATTTGAGTGTGGCTTAATTTGAATGTTAGTGATAGCATCTTTCCGATATACTGCGTATTCATACTTTCCTGTTTTTTTATTCATAATTTGTATATCCAGATAATTTAGTGTTCCTAACTCGTTTTCAACTTCAATTGTATACTGGATGGAAGGATGTTGTTGATTTAAAATGTATTGGAAATGTTTTGCTTGGTTGAGATCTGGAAACCTTGCGTGACTATCATCGACATATCTTAAGAACGATTTGAGGTTAAGTGCAGGGTTGAAATTTAGTGCAACTTTAATTGCATTGTTTTCATGGAATTGTAGAAATGATTCTGCAAGAACGACCATGAACGAAAGTCCAATTGGACCCGAGTTTTCCATTATATGAATTTCATTGTTCCAATGAAAATAACATTGAAATAAACAAAGTTCTATAAGTTGTTTTATCTCAGGTATACTTAGTCTTGTTAGTTTTTTATATGTTGTATTATTATTTAATTTTTCTATAAGTACAAGGGTGGCTTCTTTTAAAGGAACCGACGGATACAGATTTACGACATCAAAAGATACCTGAACTTCATCATTGTCAATTTTCCAAGATTCAGCTTTTTTAATAAAGTCAAAGGAATTTTTTAATCTTGTCAAGTTTTCATTCAAAACTGGTTGTATTATCTTAACTAAGAACTCAGATATTCCGTAGTTTGCTGTGCCGATTGTGGAGATAATTATTCTCATAGGATAGAATTTTTCAGGTTTGTGGGCTTTGATTACACCATACATATGAGGCGGGATGGGATCACTAGGATATATTTTTTCGTATTCCTCTTTTGAAAAACAGTTTCTTTTATTTAGTTTTGAAAGACATCTACGAATTTTAGCTGCGTAATTTGCAGTAGGGTCTTCACTTACTATTTTTGTTGGGCCTATTTGTTCGCGAATTTTTTCCAAGGCTTTTGAATGTTCGATTCGTACAAAACCTGTCCCTTTGTCGAATGGATATATGTCAACGTTTTTTTCCTCTTTTATTTCTCTATAAGCTTTCCATTGTTCTTTTGTAAGATTATTATTTAATTTTTTTCCGGTTTTTAGTTCTCTTAAAACATTTTTCCTTAGGTCTTGGGCATTTTCAATTTTATTGTTGTATTCTAATTTTAACGCAGAGGATTCCGTGGCTGTAATAATATCCATATATGGTATCGACTTTAAAGATGGTACAAAGTGTGGACCGAGGTTTAGAAAATTATTATGACTTACTGGAATGTCCTAGTTATTTGGGAACAAACAAAAACATTAAAAGTAGAAAATAAAAAATTTGAAAGAAAAGTTAGGGAAGCCCTAGAAATACAAAAAAACATGTGTTCTGCAAAAAATGGCGGGATTAATCTCGATGAGGGTCAATACGTAAAAACTAAGTTTTGGACGCCATTTTTTAAATTTCAGCGAAAAAGAAGCCATTCAACAGCTGACGTCAATAGCAACGTTTTAATTTAAATTATAACGATTTTATTAATTACTGTAACATTTAACAAGCTGAAGAAGCTGGTATCTAAAATCCAGCGAAAATTTCTATAATAATAAAAAAATTATAAGTGTTGAGAGAAATCGTATTTTTGATGTTTTAAAATAATATATAAATATACTCTCACACAAGATGTTATCCTTTAAATCATATATATATATATATATATTCCTCAAATTAAAAGATCAGGATGTGTTTTTTATATTATTTATAGATACTATAGGCAATTGTTTATTAATATACACTTTGTTAATTAAGAAATAAAATTTATATCTTCAAATACAGAACATGATGCATCATTGAACATAAGTGTATCTTCAACACAAATTGAAAATAATCCAACAGAACTTTGCAAAAACGAACATGAATTCATGAACTCTGAATACCTAAATAATGTTAATTCTCAGCAGGTTGGTATTTTATATTGCATTGATAAAAAATTTTATAAACTTTAAAACAAAATCTGACTGGGCCTGAAGATCTGATTACAGCATGTGAAGCTATATATTAATTGATCCCATGTTCAATTAATTGAGCATTCAGTATTTTTGAAATTGTTTTATTCACTCTAAATGTATGAAATTAATTTTAAAGCTTTTTTGTGGTCTGTTTTAGTATAAATTTTAAGAGATTCAATTGTCTTTTCACTAAATACTGTTATATATAAATTTAATTCATAAATTCTATTAAATGTAGATTTTACTCTAAATAAACCAATGTTTACTTTTTGTCATTTTATTGGTTTAGAAAGTTTATTGAAGTTCAATTTATGATATTATACGATCTTAGTCAAGTTTAATTTATATATAAGCTATGATTACATGATTATATATAATATGCCTAAAACACAGTTTTAAGCATAGATAAAAGACACTTGTCTTTTATGGCCCAAGGACCATCTCAAAAGAAATCATAAAAAAAATCCCTGTCAGCCATATAATAGTAGTAAGAATGAGGTTTGATAGAATTGACTTTTATGAGATTTGATAGAAATGACTTTTAAGAGATTTTATAGAATTTCTTCTCTCTACTTTTTGTGAGCTAATCCCAAAATTTGCTTTGTATTTTAAATGGTCTCTATACCAAATAAACTTTCTATAAGAATTTTATAGAAAATCTAAATATAATGAAATCTAAGTATTTATAAGTTGCAGAAAATAAATGTGTACAAAATATAATTTTTATACTTGCATAAATAAAAGTTTTATATTTATTAATTTGTTTTAATATGTTGCAACAATATTCTGAAATGTTTTTTTCTTCAGGATTTTCAAACTGTTAGCATAAGCAAAGACTTTGAAATGGTTTCTTATATACAAAATTCAACTGAAAAAAAAGACTTTGAAAATCCTTATATTCAAAATTCAGCTGAAAAAAAAGAGTGTGTTAACAAAATGTGGAGTCTAATGAAGGAAGATAAAAAAAATCTTATTGAGAAAGGTAAAAACAAAAATTTTTATATCTTTAAATGAGATGAAATCCAATTTATCTAAAGTTATTTATTTATAGATAAATTTAAATATAAAGTATAAAAATGTATATAAATTATTAAGTGGAAAATTAGTATCAAAATTTAAAAATGTATTTTAGGTTTAGAATGGAAAAGTGGGTTATGGAGTCCTGGAGAGGAAATCATTTTACAATCTAATATCACCAAATATTGTAAAGTGTGTCATTTTGAGCTTCAATAGTGTTTTGTTTTTTTTTTTGCACTTTTTTAAATCAAAAGTTCTCTATAAATTTATTAAATAATCAAACTGCTATATATTACTAATATAACTTGCATTTCTATATACTAACATCTCCCACTAACATCTTACATCTCCCACTAACATCTTACATCTCCCACTAACATCTTACATCTCCCACTAACATCTTACATCTCCCACTAACATCTTACATCTCCCACTAACATCTTACATCTCCCACTAATGATCTCAATCTTAACTTTCATTTCTTCTCTTTTTTCTCTACAAATTTTTTTTTTAATTTTTTTATTTTATTTTGTTTTTCAACAAAAGTTAAATGTATGAATGCTATGTTTTATAAATAACTCAGAGTAAAATATATAGCATTACATTGTGTTTTAAAAAGTTTTTATCAGCATTATCACTATTGCCTAAAAAGAAAATAATGATAGATTTTAAACAAAGGTTGAATGTTTAGGAAAACGTTTATAAATTAACGGAAAAATAGGTAATCTAGGTATTATAAATACGTAATTGATATTATAATTATTATGTACCAAGTTTTATTTGAAATTAAAATTTACCTTATAACTTGTTAAACTAAAAATTCTTTAAGTGTTAAACTTTGGCTCAGATGAATATACACGTTACTATTTTAATTAAAACAAGAAAGGTTATAGTAGATAACCTAAAGTTATAGTAGATAACCTAAAGTTATAGTAGATAACCTAAAGTTATAGTAGATAATCTAAAGTTATAGTAGATAACCTAAAGTTATAGTAGATAACCTAAAGTTATAGTAGATAACCTAAATTAAAATTTTTGTGTTTGTACAAAACATTTAAAGGCACGAACCAGATTCTGTTTTTTACTTTTGTTGTTTATAATAATTTTCATGCTTTGAAATCACCTTTTTAAATAACTTTTTATTTGAAAACTTGCAATTTCGGAAACAAAACTTTAATTAGTCTAGCAGCAATTTCTTTCGTTACGGGAACTATATCTTTGTCTATTCAATTATAATTTATAATAATAGATACTATTTATAGGAATAGATAATTTTTTTTGTTTTTAAAGATAGATTTAATCGTAAAAGTTTTTAGAAAAGCAAAATTTAAAATTGTTTTCTATCATTTTGAAAATATTTTGACCGCATAAAAAGTTTAGATTTCAACTTTTTTTAATTACATAGTAATTAAATAATAGTAGCAGTCAGCGAAACAATAAATTGTTTTTAAAAAACTAACTTTACAAGCTTTTTTTTTTTCAATACTTAAATCAGCGATCATGGTTCTTTTAAATAAAAAATTTTAGGACTGCCACCTATGCCACCTAATTCCCACCTGATTGTAGCAATTGTTCAATTCAACTCTTGATTGCACCGCAGTTGATTTATTCTTTAAAATTTGTTAATCATTTAAAGAATATAGTAAAATAATTTTTTTTTAAAAGGCCCTTCTAATATAAAAAAGCTTAAAACTTATGTGAGATTCCCGTATAGCCTCTGGGGCCAGCAAGCACTGGAATTTCTTGTATTTGCAATTTCGTTTGAAATATATGAAAATAAAAATTTCAAGATTGTGTAATTACGGTTAGTTTATTTTGATTGTATTGTAAAATTGTTAGATTATTTTTCTAATAGTGAGTATTTTCTAAAAAAATATTGAAAATAAAGTGTTTTATTACTTATTATTATTTTACACTCAGTTTTGAAATTATTCATTTAAAGATTTGTATAAGTTAATTTTTGAAATTTTGAAGCATCAAAAAGTATAAAAGTTTGAGATTCAAGATTTCATCAAATAATTCTCTTATTTGTAAATATAAATAGTTTTTGTATAATTTCTATAAAAATATTTTCTGCATTCATTTTACAGTTTTTTTATTTCGAAATGTTAAATCATAAAAAAGCATTTGATAGGTTTTAAAAGTATTCAAAAAATTTTAATCTATTTTATTATTCATAAAAGTTAATTAAAAGTTTATTGAAAAGAATTATCTAAGTTATAAAAATAACTTTAGAAAAATGGTTTATCTGATGCATCCATAATGATATTTTCAACTCCCAGAGAAAAGAGAAAGGAATTTTATCGATCTATAGGTTAATAAATATTAAAAAATAAATCATCTTTTATTACTAGTACAAATATCACATATAATAAAATGATTTTTAAAATTTTAGCATTCACCTTTTAATTTTAGCAATTGGTCTTAACCGACCATTATTCACTATTTATCGAAAAGTTTTAAGAATGTGCAATGAAAAAAACTATGTTGGAAAGTATACACAGGTTGAAGTTGAAAAACTTGCTGAACTTTGTCGTATTCACGGGAATGATTGGGCTACAATAGGGCATCATCTCGGAAGAAGTCCTGGATCAGTAAGAGATAAAGCAAGACTTCTTAAATGTCATAAAAAGAGAGGTTTTTAATTTTTTTTTACATTTCAGGGGATGTGAATTTTTTTTATAGCTTATACCTCTAAGTGTTCAAAAGTAAATAAAGCTAAATTGTTTCAGGTAAATGGAGTGAAGATGAGTTAAAACATTTATCAGACATTGTTCATGCTCAAACAAATACTAAAAAAGGAGAAAGTATAACTGGAGGAATAAACTGGGCAAAAGTAGCTGAAAATATTGAGACAAGAACTGAAAAACAATGTCGATCAAAATGGTATTTATTAATTAAAAGTAAATGTTTTTCTCTGTTTAATAATTTGTAATTATTGTAGGCATTGTCTCATGCTCCAGATGAAGTTGCCTGTTTTAATAACATTAAAATTTTGGTTTCTCAAGGTCAATGCGGTAGTGGTGTAGTGGTAGAGCGCTCGCTTCATAAACGAGTGGCTCCAAGTTCGATCCCCACCACGTCCCTGGTAGTACCGCGCTCAACTCATTTCTCCGCGCAGCGGCCTTGTTCGTCAAGGTTCGTGTTTCGGAGTTATAGAGTTGAGAAAGGGTTATAACCACAAATAAGTAGCCTCCTCATCTGTAGTGGCCTTCACGGCCTTGAGGAGGTGAATTAAAACAAAAAAAAAAACAAAAAAAAAATACCTGAAAAGAACATTGAGAGATGTTCTTTTTAGGTATTTGCCCCCTCCTCCCCCTCCCCATATTGCTTGGTACCTGAAATTATGGTTTTCAATTTGTTTCTTTTAGATTTGTCTAATAAAGTTGTCTATTAGAGTTTGTGTTTCTGAGAGAGAAGCGTGACAAAGAAAGTGATTAAAAAAATTACGATAAAAAAAATCTTATATTGTTAAATAATTAACTTTGTAAAAAAATTATTTGTATATTTATTTTTTCTAAATATTTTTCTGAAAAGGAGTTTTGCATGTTCTACATATATATTAGTCAATGTAGTAGCACTCCTCCAATTTGTTGATGTAAAGAGTAAAATAATAAAAATTATCATTCAGAATGTTTTTATTAAAAAAATTAAAAAAACATTCAAGCCTATAAAGTTTTTAGGTTTTTTAAATAATGATAAAATTTAAGTTTCCTCAATTAAATTAACTTTTACATAAAGTGTACTTGACGTCGCTTTTAACGACAAAGAGTTGTTAAGAGTTTTACCACAAACAGTAAATTTTGTGTGTGTGTGTGTGTGTGTGTGTGTGTGTGTGTGTGTGTGTGTGTGTGTGTGTGTGTGTATTTAGATATTTAGATATTAAGTATGTTTTTTTCTTTTTTCTTTAAAAAAAATAAAGTTAAATAAAAAATAATAATGTACTTTAAGTGGAAATAGGTTTTCTGTTGGTTTTTTTTACCTTTTTTCACATACTTTTTACTCCTCAACTATTTTTTTTAACTTTTTTGAAAGTTTTAAAAAGAGTTATAAAAATGCTAAATTTTTTTGATTTTCGAGCTGAAAATAGTGAAATGGTAAAATTTCAAGTTTTTGCAGTTGCAATTTTTGGGCTACCAATGGGAACTTGGCAGTGCACAATAAATGTTGTGCTTGCTCAGTTTCTATTGGATGTCTTTAATTCAGGTTTATTACCTAACACTAGGCAGTTAAATAGTTTTTCGTTTAGAGGGCTAAGTACTACACATGTTAAGTCAAGTTCACCTTTTTTCTTTTAATCAATAATATACTTAAAATATTAAGCATTAAAGACTAACTTTTAAATTAAAATTCTTTAATATTTATATACTTTCAATTTTTTTTTAATGATGACATAAACCTTTCTGTTATAATAATTAACAAGTGAGCTGTAGGAGATAATTAGCAGCTGTAGGAGATAATTAACAGCTGTAGGAGATAATGAGGAGAGATCACTCTCGAGATCAGCTCTCCAAGTGATCAAAATGTGATGACTTTTTATTGAGACTGAAGTATATAGTTGTGCTGTCAGCAAATAAGGAAGCGAATACGGAATTTATAAGAAAGGTTGTCAGAAAGATCATTAATGTAGATGAAAATGATACAGGATTTTACATTACTTTTTTTTAAATAATGTTAATTTATTAAATTTATTCTTTTCTTCACTAGAGTAGTAGTAAATATTTTTATTTCAAAGACTTTTCTAATAATAGTAAGAAGGCTCATTGACCTATAAAATTTCTAAAAATAAAGTCAGTGTTTGAACAATAAGTCTGTCTGAACAATCTCCAGAATTTTTAAGTCACATATTTTACAGTAGGGAAAAAAATTATTTGTTAAATATTTTAGAGGTTAATAAAAGAGAGTATTAAATTGTGGACATTTATGTGAACATTGTGCTGTAGACATTTGTAAAAGTGTGACAGTGGAGAACACATTTGTAAGAGTGTAACAGTGGGGAAAAATTTGTAAGATTGTGACAGTGAAAAACACATTTGTAAAAGTGTGACAGTGGAGAACTTAGTTGTAAGACTGTGACAGTGGAGATCACATTTGTAAAACTGTGTTATCTGGACCACAAGCTGTAGAAGGGTTTAGGTGAGAAATAACAGAAGCAAGAGTGGCGTAGATATCTAGCAGTGAATTAAAGTGAATGGGATAATAAGAAGAGTCATTAGATTCAAGAGATTAAGAGGTTTAAAATAAAAGTTGTTTGCAAATAGTTCTGATTGAGAGATTAAATGCTTGCTTTTATTAATGACATTGTGTTTTTTTATTGCTAAAAACTGTCTGATACCAAAAAAGTGTCAGTTTTTAGCATTAATAAAAAGAAATTCTCTAGAGAGTTTCATCTTTTCTTGTGAAAAAGATGAAAAATTGCTAGTTAGTTAGAAATAGCAGCTATACTAGAATGTAAAAACCAAGGGTAGATTGAGACTTGACTTGAAACAAGAAGGAATAAAAGTAATTATGCTTTAATCTAGAAGATTATAAAGGAGGAACAACTTTTTAGCACACAAAGACATTAGCCCAAATACTATAGCAATGAAAATCATAAAATCCTGTGAGTCCCAGTCAGCTTTATGATACTAATAAAAATAGGCCACAGCTTCTCTAAAATTTTCTAAAGTCTTCTTTTTTTAAAAATCTTCTCTTAATTCCTCTATTTTCCTCTAAAAAGTTAGAAATGTGATCCTAATTTTTCTTTAACTTCTCTTCCAACCCCCTTCTTGCATCATTTCTTGATGGTAGTAAATTGTTAAAAATACCCATTCTTGGTCTTCAAAACTGGTTAACATCGAAAAGGACATTGGGTTGTAAAAAATTGCTTTAACAAATCCATGTCATTAAACATAAAAAATGGCATTATTGACCCAAACTCTACAAGTGTGGATACATGGATGTTAAACCTATTTTTTTGAAAAAAATCCTCTAAAATCCTCTATTTTTATTCAAAATTTTCTAGTTTTGCAAAAAAATTCTTCTAAATTAGATGCAAAATCTCCTTTAAAATCCTTTAATGTACTAGTATGAAGATTTTTGAATGCACTCATGAATTTTTGTGTACTCTTTCGAATGTACTCTTACAAATTTTTAATGAAAGTTTTTAATGCACGATTATAAAAGTTCTTATGAAAATTTTATGTGGCCACCCTGAAGAAGTGTGACACCAAATGCACTAACAGGAACACCTTCCATGCTCAACAGCACTGTTATTTGATATTTTATATAACTTACTCTGATATTTTATAGCTGTTGATAGTATCAGCAGCTAAACCATAGTTTTCGAGAAATCTAGCTACCAGCTTCAGAACCATTAAATTTAGTTTTAGACCTTACCTTCATTAGGAGATAATAAAAAGAGTTTCTGCTACTAACACGCAACAAACAGAGTCAAGAAGATCTAGTGTTCATCATCTTTTGCTACCACAAGCAACAAATAGATTCAACAAGATCTAGTGTTCATCATCCTATACAGGAAATAAAGAATAAAAATGAATTGTTTTTAATAGAATTTTACTTTTTACCAAGTGCACCAAATCTTTTAATAATAATTTAAGTTCCATCTGTTAAGTATCTGTTAAGTTCGATCTTTAGATTAATAATTATTATTTGCTTATTCACAATGATTTTTTATATGCTTGACCTGTATTAAATTTTTCATATGCTTGACCTGTATCAAATCTTTAATATACTTGACCTGTATCAAATCTTTAATATACTTGACAGTGTATCAAATCTTTTATATGCTTGGCCTGTATCAAATCTTTCATATGCTTGACCTGTATTAAATTTTTCATATGCTTGACCTGTATCAAATCTTTAATATACTTGACCTGTATCAAATCTTTAATATACTTGACAGTGTATCAAATCTTTTATATGCTTGGCCTGTATCAAATCTTTCATATGCTTGACCTGTATTAAATTTTTTATATGCTTGACCTGTATCAAATCTTCTTTCAATTTATTGTCAAATTTGGTTTAAATTTTCTGATTATCTTTTATGTTCTTACACTTTTAAGTTACTCGCTTTGTTTTCTTTCTTTTTGTTATCCTTGACATTCTTGTATGCTCCATTTTGATGTTATTTTATATATAAATGCTTAAGTTTTCTTTACCATACTGTTGTTGGTAATGTTAAATTACTACCATACCTTATTTAATTTGAAGAAAGTAAAATCAAAAATTTTTTCTTTTATGTTTTATTAGTTACTGTCTATTTGTTTTTTATGTTTAATTAGTTACTTTCTATTTGTTTTTTTATTTTTTATTAGTTACTGTCGATTTGTTAGCTTAAAGTTGACAATCAATACTTAACAATAACGTAATGTTCACAGCACTTATTAAAAATGCAATTTTTAACAACTTAATCTTTAGCTATTTACTATAAATATCTCTTAAAATAGTTTTATATCCTAAAAATAGTTTTAGGACAATTGTATACTGCAAGGTTTGTGCTTAAATTAAGTAATATGTTCCCATATTTTGATGTAATATATTTTTCATCAAATGATATGTTAAAGTAGATCTATTCCCAAAAATGTCTTTTCCAATTTTTTATACATTTCAGACTAAAATATCCCCTCCTCCTAACTTTAATAAACTCTGGGATTGTCGTAGATCACTTTTAATATTATTTTAATAAACATTTTTTAGATAATTGTAAGCATTTATTTTAGATTATTATTTTTCGTGGCATATTTTTAAACTTGTTTCATAGGTTAAACTTTTTGAATTGGTCTGAAACTGGTGGTAAAAAATGGAATAAATTTTGTGATTTAGAGCTTATCAGTAAGTAAGTGGATTATGTTTGCTCTTTAACTTTTTAATAATCTGACTGTGAGTGAGGTAAATATTTTTATGACCTGACTGTGAGGTACACTTAAAATAAAGAATTTAAAGAAATATCTAAAAAAACATTTTTTTGAACATTAGTAATATTTAAAGTCAATTTATTTACAGAGTTATAGTACCCACATCAGCTGTCAGTCCTGCTTAGCCACCATATTAGTGGAGCCATGTTTATTTTTACCCCTGATTTAAAGTATCATGTTGACAGCAAATAGTTTCTACTCTATGATATCAAAACAGAGAAGTGTGACAAGTATTTTATCAGGTTGAGCAGGTTTTTACTTTAATCAAAAGAAATATCCACTTCTGTTACTTTTTGTTTTTTTTAATTCACTATCAATGACTATACCAATATTGGAATAACAAATCATTTTTCTTGCAGCGATTGCAGCATAAATCAAACTATATACAGAAACTAATACTATATATACTATATAAACTATATACTATATAAACTATATACTATATAAACTATATACTATATAAACTATATACTATATATCTAAGCATGAACATACATATGTTTGGTTCAAAAAATATGTTTTTTTAAACATCTTTTAAATGTTAAAAAATTTTTTTTTGCAGACCAAATGCAGGTGGGCATGTTAAAGAGATGTGAAGTTTTTTACACCTAAAGTAGTTTTGCATGTTTTACTTCAGAATATGATTTAAAAACTGCTGCTGTTATATGTAGAAAACTATCTATTATAAGTAGAAACTGCTATTATCATACTATATCTGTTATATGTAGAAACTGCTATTATCATACGTAGTAAACTGCTGCTGTTATATGTAGAAAACTGCTGTTATCATACGTAGTAAACTGCTGCTGTTATATGTAGAAAACTAGAAATTAGAAATAGTTTAGGAAATTGAAAGTCAATTTATAAAAGAATGTTTTCTCAATTTTTTGCTCTCTATGAAAGAGATTTTCATAAAAACATTGTATATTAACATGAAAAGTTGTATATTTTTTATACAGTTTATAAATGTTTAAATTAATTGCAACATTTTGTAAAAAATCTTCGAAAGTTAAAAAAAGGTAAATATAAAAAAATTAACTTGATGCAAACTGTTTTGACAACTATTTGAGTATGCGTTGGATGTAAGAATGTAAGGATGTTCGGATGTTTGTAAGAGGTTTGACAGATGTCTCTATGAAAATGCATGCCAACTGTTTAAAAGCTAAAGTTTCTATGATGGCTACCAGCGCTCAAAATAAGGGTCAATCAACAATCAATGATCGGCTATTTTTAGGGTAATTTCGAAAAATTCAAGGAAATATAACCTGTTTTTTTGAAAAAATTACATTTGATCGGCAAGCTTTGAAAAACTATTTCGAGCGCTGGGCTACGATTATTAGAGTAATAATTGTGTAATTTTAATACTTTGAAAAATTTTAAATTAATGTTAGGAAGTTAATAATGAAATCACCTTCTTTTAAGTAATTTTTTTTTAAACTAATAATAATAGAAATATATTTCTTATTTAAAGAAATAAATTTACCACCCCACAATTTGTTTCTTGTTATTTTAAGAAATAAATTTTTTAAACTTTTAAACAATGGTCTTACGATTTTGCTCTATATTCAAGATTACAACTTTTCAATTGTTCTTAATTACGTCAGTGTTAATTAAAAGAGTGGGTTTGCTCAAAACGTTTTAAACAAATCCTCTTTTTTAAAAACATTGATGTCAGTTTTTTAGTATTTGTTTTCTATTACATTAGAATTGGAAATTTAAATGTTATCAATGAGTCAAAAATTGATTGGAGCAATCTGGCTAAAGATTGGTGCAGGTCTAACTAATTTTAGTTTAAAGCTATTTAATTTTTTTTTATGTCTTTTTTCTCTAAGTTTACATTGAGGTATTTTTCAGTGTTCGTTCACCACAGTGGTTAAAACACAGATGGCACGGAATCAAAAAACATGTACCAAATTATCAACATTTAACATTAAATGGTAAGCAATACTTATTTATAAATAATATAAATAATATAAATAATAAATAAAAAATATAAATAATAAAGTTAGATATTTCTAACTTTATTATTTATAAATAATAAAGTTAGATATTTCTAACTTTATTATTTATAAATAATAAAGTTAGATATTTCTAACTTTATTATTTATAAATAATAAAGTTAGATATTTCTAACTTTATTATTTATAAATAATAAAGTTAGATATTTCTAACTTTATTATTTATAAAATAATTTTTATAAACAAAATAGCAAGCACAGTTTGTTTATAAAAATTTTGTAAATAATGTTTTTTTTTTAAAAAAGATTAAAATTGATAAAATATTAATTATAAAAATAAATAAAATGCTATTTATCTAATTAATTGATAAAAAATATAAAACTTTTAAAGTTTTTTGAAACCTAAATTTATAATACATAATAGTTGTACATATTTGATTTATTAAATGTTTACTATAAATTAAATATTGTGTGATTCATTTTTATTATTTTTTGTTGGTAGACATAATAGGTTTTTTGCAAACCAATTATGTTAAAGAAGTTATTCATAAATTAAATGAACATGTGTCAGTCAGAAATAATCGAGATGAACTCGTGCTTACGTCGAATGATCAATCATTGGTTCAAGAGTTTCAAAAAGAAGCTTCACACTCAAAATCTTCACAGTCAAAATCTTTTATTAACAAAAATCAACTTGAAATATTAGGTACAGTGTTTAACATTTAAAAATAATTTTTATATATGTTAAATATTTGACAAACTTTTTAAAATTCTGAAAAATATCTGTAAAATATTAATATAGTATTAATTTAATCTAAACATTTTTTTTTCTTTTATTTAACCATATTAATAAAATTAACAACAGTTCATAATAAATTTACAGAAATTTATTCGGCGTCATTTATATTGATTACACACTAGTCAATGGAGTGACACCTATAAAAATAAAAAGCACAAACGAACAAAAAAATAAAAAAGACAGAACAAGAAAAATAAAATAAAAAGGAGACAGAAAAAAAATATTTAGATAAATAAAATAAAAAATCAAATATAAAAAGAAATACATTAATAATAATATTAATAATAACATTATATATTAATAATAATAACAACAAACTTATTATTAAAAAAAAAATCAATAATAAATTATTGATTTTTTTTTTTTATTTGTATAAAAGTGTTTGTTGAAATCGGTTTTGACAAAAAAACTATCCAAAAGATAGCTATTGTAATAAAATGTTTTTCTCTGCGGTATTTATAGTAACATTATCAGATACATTATCATAAGCACTTTAGTTTATGTTTTTGCTATGGTTAATGAATATAATTAATGTATTACTTAAGTGATTTATTCAGTGTTATTTAATTTAACTACCACATGTTTTTAAAGAAGAGTTTATGTTATGACAAATAAAATCAAAGATAAAGAAGTACAATGAACACTTAAAAAAAAAGAAAATCTACACTGAAATCTTAAAAAAAAATAAGTACACTGAATGCTTGAATTGCAATTCTAATGTCAAGACAGTGACAAGTATTTATACAGCAACTTTTTTTGTCTTTTTAAATAAAAGTAACTTCAAATGAAAATTTTATATGGAAACCGTTTTGAAAATATAATAAAAGTGTTTTAAATAAAAATTCAACAGGAGACCCTAAGGTAGGTTTCTAGCAACCAAACTTCTGATTCTTCAGAAGTTTAGATGCTAAGAAGTTATTTAAAAAAAAGATTTAGGTGTCAAAAAGAAAGAAGCAAGAAACACAAAGAAAAAGTAATCTTCAAAGAAAAATTTATTTTTCTCTTCGACTTTTTCCTTAAGAAACACTCTACCTTAAAAACACTCTACCTTAAGAAACACTCTACCTGAAGAAGCACTCTACCTTAAGAAACACTCTACCTCAAGAAGCACTCCACCTTAAGAAACACTCTACCTTAAGAAATACTCTACCTTAAAAATACTCTACCTTTAAAACACTCTACCTTAAGAAACACTCTACCTTAGTGTGAAAAAAAGATGAATAGAGTGACAACTTGTTAGCAATTCAATGAGAAATATGCTTTTCTTCTTCAACCAATGAAAAGGAACAAAAAGCTAATTAAATAATGATTGTAAATATTTGCAAGCTCAAAACTAAAATTATTATCATGTATTTACCGGTGTAGTTAAAGGTATTCCTTGTAGGATGTGGTCCAATAATAGAACCAATAGTATACAATAGTGGGTGTCTAAGTGTGGGTCCAATAATAGAACTAATATATACTTTATATAATATATAAAGTATACTACTGTATATATATTATATAATAGTATATTTTATATTTTATCAAATAGTAACAACGGTATACAAATATAACTTGTAATGTACAACTATCACTTGTAAAGTACGTCCAATTAAAAAAAGTGACAAAATCAATATGCTTTTGATAATTAATGTAATTTTTGATAATTTGTTATAAAAAACATTTAAGTAAAGTAAAATCATTATGATCATGAGAATAGTCACCTTAGTTACTGTATTTCCATGAGACATGTCCAGATGTACAAAGGTACTAAATGACCCTTGGTACAAGATTAAATAGCATAGCCTCATAAAAAATAACATTTACTAAAAAAGGCCACATTAGGAAAAACTTTTTTTTTAAATTGCATCTAGTAACCAGTGGTGCAAACAAGTTACTTGATGAACTCAAAGAAGGGTGTTTTCTTTGAATTTTCTAAATTTAAATGAAGGATTTAAAACAAAAGTAATTCCAACATTTTACTATTATAAAAAATTATACTCAATTTATAACTTGATTATAACTACAGGTTATAACTTGCTACCTCCTTTAACATATTAAATTAGATAAAAAAATTTATCAACTACTTGATTAAGCAACATAGTAATGAACTTAATGTTGTAGGGCAGAACTTACACCCTTAATTCGTAAGCACCTTTGATCCTTTAACTCCATACTTACATAACTTATTAAAGAGGACTGACAACCAGCATGTTATAAATATTGTATCTTCAAAATTAATTGCGTTTTTGATAGAGAAGAGACCACTATTAAATTTGTTTTTAAAAAGTTTGATTTTGACAACAAAAAGAAATTTTTTTACTTTTACAAGGAACCTCACATCTTTAAAATTTTTTTCGCTTATGTCATTTTGTAACTAAACTATTTCCCTCTTGTATGCTTTTGGTAAGCTATAGATGCATCTAATATGACAAAAAAAGAATTTTTGTAAAAATGAAGTGGGTTAGTACCCTTGATCCTAATGCATTTACGTCCCTGGAAGTACCTTGCTCAATTTGTTTCTCCGAGCAACGGCCTTATTCGTCAAGGTTCGTGTTTTGGAGGTAAAGAGTTTAAAGAAGGTTGTAACCAAAATGAAGTAGCCTCCTCGACTGTAGTGGCCTTCTTGGCCTTGTGGAGGTGAATAACATTAATAAAAAATAATCTGTAAATCTTTATATTTGATTTTTTAGAACAAGTAAACGATCCATCTACTTTAATACCCCTTTCATCTCAAGAAGATACGACGCATGGGAGTTTCACAATTTTATTTTAGAAAAAAGTATTTATCGATTTAACTGCTGAAGGATATATTTTTTCATATATATATATATATATATATATATATATATATATATATATATATATATATATATATATATATATATATATATATATATATATATATATATATATATATATATATATATATATATATATATATGAATATATATATATATATATATATATATATATATATATATATATATGTATATATATATATATATATATGAATATATATATATAATATATATATATATATATATATATATATATATATATATATATATATATATATATATATATATATATATATATATATACATATATTCATATATATATATATATATATATATATATATATTCATATGTATATATATATATATATTTTCATATGTATGTATATATATATATATATATATTCATATGTATATATATATATATATTTTCATATGTATGTATATATATATAAATATATATATATATATATATATATATATATTTTCATATATATATATATATATATATATATATATATATATATTTTCATATGTATATATATATATATATATATATATATTTTCATATGTATATATATATATATATATATATATATATATATATATATATATATTTTTTTTTTCATATGTATATATATACATACATACATACATACATAGAAACAATTTATTAAATCTATTGCATTATTTTAAATCTGTGGTTTTGTTGTAATATACATGAACACTCATTTCTAAGTTTATTTTTGTAAATAAGTTATTTTATTTAGTTAGTAAAATTCTTAACTTTTTCATTCGATCTTTCTTTGAATACTTGTTGAATTATTGTTGGACGAAGTGTTAAAAGTATTTGTTTTTAGAAAAACAGATTTTAATGGAAGAAAAATTGACAGGTTGATAACATAAACATGTGCGTTCAGTTAAATGTTTACCGTTGACTGTCTAAATTATTTTAACAAATACTATATTTATCATTATTCATTCAACATAATTCACAAAAAATAACTGTTTTTATCCGCATATTAAAGCATACATACTTAAGACGTAAAATATTATTTTATATGAATTTTTATAATTTATTTCTAAAAGCTAAGCATTTTAGGCGGGTTTTTTTTTATTGTGTGGTAACATTAGCATTTCTGTCAATGTGATTTTGTCGGCGGAAAAATTAGAGAAAATTTTCCGGAGATTTTTCGTAAAATTTCCAATTGTAGATGCAATCTATTTTTTTTGAAAACTAAAATTTTCAAAAAAAATAGATTGCAATTACTTTTTTAAAACTTTCTTTCAGAAATAGCCGTTTAATCAACTAAGTTACAAACTTTCACGAAATGTGGATAAAACAAAATGTATACTTTTCCATAAAGTAAATAAATCAAAAAACCTTCATCGTAAATTACCAAATCTTATAAATAATAATACTTATATTAAAAGGTAAACTTGCGTAAACTTTTTTATGAGTAAAACTGGATGAAAATTTACTGTGGTATTCAAATGTAAATAGTATTAAAACAACAACCTCAAAAAGTGTGGCAATGGTGTTTAAGGCTAAACCTTTTCTAAATGTACAACCTCTAAAAAATTATATTTTGCCTTTATTCACAGTTATTTGTCTTACTGTACTATTGTGTGGGCTAGTACTAGCTATACAAAACTAAAGAAAATCTGCAACAAATAAAAACATGCGTGCAGAATAGTTTTTGAGCCTATAGAAATGCTCCTTGCGAACCACTTTTAAGTGCGCTCGGTACTTTTAATGTGTGTAAACTCAATTTACACCAAGTTTTATTGTTTATGTTTTAAAACAAAAATGGGATTGTCAACAAAAACTTTCGAACTTGTTTTAATAAACTTAATCATAAGTATTCAACAAAGTTTTCAGACTTTGTTCTTCTCAAATGTAATTTAAAATTAATTTCCTATTTACTTAAATACCGCGGATCTTAAGTGTGGGTTAAATTCTGCAAACAAGACTGCATTAGAGCAATTTAAGAATGAATCAAAGCGATTACTACTGTTCAGGGATCTTTATTATAAATAAAAACAGAATTATTGATATCAATGAAATTTAAGTGATGATGTAAAAAATCCATCTAGTGATTATGTTTATTATGAAATTTTATTATTATTACAATTTCTTTTTTTTGTTTATGTGTTTCTCATACATTTTAGCGATTGTAAGCATTTTAACACTTTTTTAGTTTTTTGTTATTTTGAATTTATTTACTTAACTAGAACAACAGAAGGACCCGAAGGCCACTTATACTACAGTATACATATAAACAAATTAATAAATCTGTGTTAAGATCGACAGTAGTTAAGACCAAATTGCATTATATAGAACAATATAGTTGAACAAGACGGTTTTTAAACATCGATACAGATGATGGATTGGAAACTGACATTATTTACAATAAAATTTCCGACATTGGATTAGTGCTTACAGTAAAATTGATTGTCGACAATGGATTAGTGCTTACAGTAAAATTGATTACAGACAGTGGGTTAGTGCTTTATTCAAAGTGAATTACTTCGCTGAGCAGAACTAAGAACTAACACGCTGCAAAAAAAAATCCAAAAGCTATGATGATACTCACAGTCAATACAAGTAAAAAACAATCATCAGAGTCTAAATATGCACAAAATTTCGTTGTTTTTTCAGAAGTACAACCAAACACCAAAGTGAACATCACAAAGAAATCCAGTTAAAAATGACATCTAGTTGGCTCTAATAAGTTACTATGCTAATAAATAATCGGAGCATATATGTTTAAAATGTTTTCTTAATTTTGTTTATCGAAGATTTAATTAAAATGTCACACCTAATAAATTAAGTGTAACATTTACAGCATAAAACATATATTTTAAAATATATATATATTCTTCAATATTACTCCATATAACATTGACAGTTGTACCCCAATAATAAAATTAATGCCTTACCATTAACAGGCCCGTACCGTGGGGGAGGGGTGTCGTTGAGTGTGATTAACCCCCCTTTTTATGCAAAGTGCCTTTTTTAATTTGACACTAAACATTATTTCTAGACTCTTTTCAATGTCAAAATTTTCATGATAATTATTTGATTTTTATAAATCATTCTCATGAAACAATTTTTACTTTATTGTTTCACAAACGTAAGGCGTCAATACAAGTCAATGCATTATGAAATCTTTTGCAAACGAAAAATGAAAAGTAATCACTCCAGAGATTATACTGTAATTACAATTCTCTACTAATACTAATTCACTTTTAAAAGCAAACGATAGAGTTAACATGCCTAACAAAATCTGGAAACGAGCAGCTGATAGAAAAGAGCTTCAAAATGCTGCAAAGAAATGCAAATCGTTAGCTGGATATTTTAAGTAAAAAAGTTATTTTGATCTTCTTTTTATAATAATTAGTTTGATATTAACTAGATACAGATATTAACTAGATATAGATATAGATCTATACTTTAAATTTTTTTATGATACCGTAAGATTGGGTGGCTTTTGCTCAACGGGATGTCTTTAGCCCAAGCGAAATTTTTGTTTAAAAATGGTTTAAAATCGATACCTCAAGGTATGCCGGTTGATGTTTAGTAGCAAATTGTGGGAAATTTATTATTTATTTAGTCTAACCTAGTTTACTTAACTCGAGTTATTGTGATATTATTGTAAACTGCACTTTAGAAGAAGCACTTAAAATCCGAATTTTTTTAGGTGTGTAAACTTTTACATCGATAGCAGTACCTGTAGAAGGTTTTTTATTGGAATATAGACTGAATTAATTTTAAACCATTAGTGTTTGATTCTATCTTGTTTTGAAAGCTTATAAATTTATTACTTTTTTGTAATTGAGTTTAAAAAAAATAGGTTGTCTTTGGCCCACTACATAGGGTGACATTCGCCCGGGCTAAAGTCACCCCATGTATTAGAGTAAACCTTTTTTAGCGATCATTTATAGATATTATGTTAGTTACTATGTTGGAATGAAAAATTTTGTAGTAGTAATGCAATAGAAAATCAGTATAACAATTTGTATTAGTAAATCAGTATAAAATTATAGTGAAATTTGTTTAGTTCTTAGTTTAAATATGCCACAAAATTACCAGCCAAATCGTGGAAGAAGAAAATGTGTTACTTATACTTTAGAACAGTTAGACAAAAAGATTTAAAGAATGGTTTAATTGCTCAAAGACAAGCAGCTTTGAAATACGATATACGAAGATCATCATTAAAAAATAAAATAAAACAGACATATCCTAAAAAGTATGGTGGTCAGCAAGTATTTACATCAAAAGAAGAAGACATATTTAAGGCATATGCAATAAAATCATCTGAGTTTGGTTTTCCTGTTGATAAATATAATTTAAGATGCATAGTAAAAGGGTATTTAGAGAAAAAAGACATCATTATACCTCAGTTCAAAAATAATTTTCCAGGTGGTGATTGGATTCGATCTTTTTTAAAAAGGAATCCAGAACTCACAGTAAGATTTGCAAGCAACATAAAGGGAAAGAGAGCAGAAATAGAAACGACTGTGATTACTTTATTAATCTATCAAATGAAATAAGTAATATATCACCTGATAATATATGGAACTATGATGAAACCAATCTCAGTGATGATCCAGGTAAAAAAAAAAATATTAACAAAGCGTGGATGTAAGTATTCTGAACGCATCATTAATTCTACAAAGACCTCATTCTCTGTAATGTTTTGCGGCAATGCTATTGGTGAATTGCTACCACCTTATGTTGTTTACAAAGCTGAGTCGTTATTGAATACATGAATGGAACATGGGCGACCAAAAGCACGTTATAACAGATCTAAAAGTGGTTGGTTTGACTCAACATGTTTTGAGGACTGGTTTTTCTCTTTACTTCTTCCAAGACTTAAGAAGGCTCAAGGAAGAAGTGTCAATATAGGTGATAACGTATCTTCACATTTGAGCATTGCAGTACTGGATACATGTCAAAGCAATAACATAGGATTTGTGGCATTACTAGCAAACTCTACA